TAAGTTTTCCAGTCCAGAAACAATACATCCGAGTCCATCGTGCGGGTGTAGCCGAGAAGCCACCAGAGTCTGACTCATACCGCAATTACAGGGCTCCCCCTCCAAGCACTTCTCCAGTAGTCGGTGACTGTTTTGTTTCCAAATTTACACACAGCCCCGCGGTGTGCGCACATCAGCGGGTCAGGCCGCTCTCAAGAATATGAAGGTGTCCCAAAGGAAGGCGAGAACACTGACAGGTGATCCTCTAGCAGATACCCAGAGGAGATACCCAAACTACTCTCCATACTTAACTTGTGTCGAAACACTCTTTATATGTCGTACACCAAGTCAGAATGTAAAGACAGTAAAAGTGTGGCATCGTTTAATATCACAGTGCTCAGACACAAAGCAGATAGGGACACACTGCATTCGAGTCTCAAGGTTAAGAAAGAGAAACGCACACGTTTAAATAAAGTTCTGAAATAATATATAAGTCAACGTGTTTTGTAGCTATGTGGGAGGAACAGCATGATGCAGACGGTTAATTTTACGTGTGTGTTGCAGGAGGCCTGTCGACCAAAACTGGATAAAACCGGAAAGATGTTAATTGATGAAATAATTATAGCAAGAGCTTAGTCCGCGTCCATGTCGATCACTACATGGCGTTTTCCTTGAAAATTGTATAAATACTGATCGAAATTCCTCGAATTCCACTCTGTACCGTGTGCCCCATTTCTAACAGTTCTTTTTAAATGTATTAATTGCAATATGGCTTCCCTTTTCCAGTTTCCCGGGCCCTATTATGGCCTGTCAGGCCTGACAGAAGATTCCCCCACAGCCCTCAGCTGTGTTTGTCTCAATCTTATTTCCATAAAATGACAAGCAGCCTCCCAAATCATGACAAAGAAGAATGGCTGTACTCCCCCTCCCTCTTCTGCCTCTGTCCCCCCATCCATCCATCCATCTATCTATCTGTCTATCCCTGTTCTCTCCCCCTGCTCTCCGCACTCATGGAAGCAGGTGTGCTGGGGGGGGACGGACCCCAAACCAACAGCCAAGAGTGACTGAATGAATGTTTAATTAATGAAAGACAGAAACGATCAAGTTAAACATCTCGCAAAATATCATAACACATAGCGAATCCTCATAATCATGTTTATAAAAAATAAAAAAGACAAATTGTGTGTCATTCTAGGAGGCGCGGCCGAACCAGCAAAATACGCAGTACTAATGCATATGCATGTATGATAATAGACCTACCCTTTCCCTTATTTTATAAAAATCAAACATATATAAAACACTCAGCGACCCCATAAAACAACAAATCACTGTTGGATCGTGCAAAACGATGGGAACATGGCGTAGGAAAAACAACGGAAAAATTGAAGTTTGTTTTCCACCGCGTTATCTACATCTCTCCCATCTCAAGCACTCTTTCCGCTCCAGTGGCTGTTTGCAGCCCCCAACCCTTCCTCCCCTCCCCTCCACCATACACACAGGCACACACTCACATCTCGTTCAGTCACGGGACAGGGCGATGTACAGTCTGTATAATCGAAATAGACCCTGTAATCCAATTACATATAACAAAAACAGCACAGAAGCCCTTGCCGCAGCTGCAGCCTGAAAGAGGGCACTGCCAAGGCCAATCATGGCGACTGGCATGAGCATGAAACAGGCGCACTGCCCACCGTTATAAAGACATTTTTGCAACTTCTCTCTAATTTGTGAGATTAAAATGGTTTAGAATCACGTGTATTCGGTTACAGACCTGTGCGTAAAGGAACGAAAGAACATTTACTGTAAACACTAAACACATTATTTCATTGTGTGGCTTTCATGAAGTGTTTGGAAATTAGTAGACAAACAACAGAAGATTTTTTTTTTAAATTTAAAGGGAAAAATGAATCATTACTTCGTATCTGCAGTATTTAGAGCGAAGCCAATCAGTGAAATCTGGTGCCACAGAAAATGGTGGATGAATAATTAGACCAGGGGTGATAACAACCGAGCCTGCACACGCTGACACTCCTATATTTTGCCAAAGAAAATAAACGGTAAGATATGGCATCGTATTTTAATTATCCAACTGGGGCAAATTATCTGCAAATTAAAGGCCAGTGGTCAATACCCAGTTCACACGTCTATCATAAAACGTATTGACCCTTGTTGCCTCGCACCCGCATCCAATCAGCACACAACGATGTTTATGCAATAGTTCAGTGTTCATTCAAAAAGAAAAACTGAGAAAAAAGATTCTTTAACCTCTAGGGACCCGCTTCTTCCCCCCTCCCATGTCACCTAAGCTCCCTGTGTGCGCATTCTCGCGCACACAAACTCACACCCTATCATCTTATTTGTGCTTCGACGGGACAGCAAAAAAAAAGTCAGCAAATATATTAAACTCCTCTGCCTCCTTGGACTTTTGCGAGTAAACAGTCTACAACTGTGTCCAGCAGCAGCGCTCGAGGTCGCCCCTTTATCCGTGCGCGCGCCTGCAGATCCTTATCAGCCTCTCCTCCTATTCAACAGCCTCCATATTCACGACACCTCCACATATTCATCATGCAAAATGCAAATGCCGTTATCTTTCTCATCTCAACGAAAGGCAGTGTTCACTTCAGAGATCTTTGTGCTTTTTCTTTACTGTCATCCGACGGCAGGGCATGTTGATTTTATTCTCCGATTGAACCAATTTTTTTTATCATTTTAATAATATCATCAGATAATCACAGTGAGGACGTGCGATGAATCAGCCATCATGTTCTCTTCCAAAAATCATGGCTGCTCAGGAAAGCATCTTCGCCAAACATAAAAAAAGTTACAATTCTTCCTCTAACGGCAATTTTGGAGTTTGAGTCATTCGTTTTAGACGTTAATTCGTTTAGTCCAGCACAATTCATCACCCGGACAACGTAACAAACATGCACAGACAACTTCAGCATTGCACTGGTAAGGGGGCAACATGCAGATGAGCAACACTTGAAGAGACACAATTCAAGCCTACCTTCTTGCAAAGAATACAGCAGAAGTAAAGTTACAAGCCACATGCCATTAAAAGCAGTTATATTTCACAGGAATTTTGTGCAGTCCCCAAGAAGAGTGCACGGCGCAGCGGTCGGCCAGGCGAGGCTCCGTGCTGGACTGGTTCTGCTGATGCTCCCCGGCGGTCTCTCCAGCCCTGGTCCCACACTCTCCAGCGCCGAGAAAGAGGCAGCGGAGAAAGTACCGCCTCTGTTCCCTGTACTCTCCTCCCCTCACCGGGACAGGCTGCCGTTGCCCCACCCCCGGTATCCTAATGATGCGCCGTGGTGGAGAGGTGAGCCATAAGTACTAAATGGGGACCAAACGAAAACCACTGGCACCGCTGTATTACGCGCACTGAATAGATTCTTTAATCCGGTGATGGGATGGAGCTCCAAGTGCAAATTTCAAAATTCCCCGACATACAAGTCATTCAAATTTGGTTTTCAGGCAAGGGACTTCAAATAGAAATGAAAATGCTCGTGATTTCCCATGCAAATCAGCCTAAGAATTTCCATGAATCGCTTTTTTTTTGTCGTTACACTGGTGCACTTAGAAAGTAAAAGTAAATTCTCCACAGGATCAGTTGTGGCATTGGGGAAACAGAAAACTCCATTGGCAAGCGCAAATTCCACACCCGGAGGAGGAAAAAGAGAACAGAGAAGCTGCAGCCTCCATATCCTACTAGAGGAAAGTGGGAATGATGTGCGCTGCGCACCTGCATGTAGCTACCAACAGTGGTGGCGCTGAAGTCACATTTGATACTGAACAGCAGACTGATATTATTCTACACCACACCTCACCACAGCGTTGATGGATATCTCATTAAAAAACAAATCTGTGTACATGCGCCTGTAACACTCAGACACACTGAGGAGCTGCACTTGAAGTTGGTGTTACTGGTTTATGACAACAGGTGTTTCTGAAAGAGGGGTCCAATACTTTCATCTATCTTAACTACAGCTATTAAGCTGGTGTATTTACCAAGTCATTTAAATGGCATGGTAGCAAAAAAAAGTTGTGAAAAAAGTTGTGACCAGGGAATGTTTACCACTGTGTTGCATCACCTCTTCTTTCAACAACAATCTCTAACTGAGGAGACCATCTGACGCAGTTATGAAAGTGAAATGTTTTCACATTCTTGCTTGATGTAGGGCTTCGGTTGCTCAACAGTTTGGGGCCTCTGTGGTATTTTCTTTTCATATTTTTAGCAGTTTTCAGCTGAACAGCTACAGTCAGAGCGGTTCAGCTGTCTGATTCTTTTATTAAGAAGCCAATTTGTTTAGCATTGTCTTAACCTGGATGGATGAATAGCATTTATATAACAC